GAAAGACAAAAAAGCTTTGATCAGGCTGGCCCTATAACACAGCATGCTGTGCATAGAGCCAGATCCCACACAGCCAACTGCAATTGAAGTCCCTACCTTCACAGCTTGAAAAAATACAAAGCACACATGCTTGTGTGCCCAAAATCACACCAGATGCAGAAACGGAGACAAAAAGGATTGCAGCGTGACTGCACCCCATTGGATAGTACTCTCTCCCTCTCTCTCTCTGTCTCTCTCTCTGCTTCTCTCTCTCTCTCTCTACCTCTCTCTCTCTCTCTCTCTCTCTCTCTCTCTCGCAAGTACACATACCCTCTAGCAATGAAAAAAATAGACTGTTTTCCAATTATTACAAAAGTAATGTGTAAGATATGAATCCCAGATAAAGAATAGATTCTAATTCTCTCCCCAATTCAATGTTCACAGTATATGTTGGTAAAAAGCATAATTCTTTGAAAACAACTTAAGGAAGGGAATACCTGAGCAATCTGGTGGGTGAAATCACTTACCTACAGTTTTTAAAAGGATAATCTCATGATTCTTGTTCCTCCATTTCTCTTACATTTATCCATCCTGCAGGGATTCTGGGCACAGGGGCACACGTGTCTGGCCAATTTTTCAAGCTGGTGGGACTGGGATTCAAACTGCAGTTGGCCATATGGGATCTGGTTGCCTTAACCACTACACTAAAGGTCTGGCCCAGGTATACAAATTTTTTTAACTGTTCTACCCTGCAAGTGAATTGTATGAATAGCAGAGAAATAACTTGGCAAAACTAAGTTGATCATAAATGAAAAGAAATGAAAGTGAAAAGGTGAACAGATTTGCCCGACTCAGTACTCTGCAAAGGTGAAAATGTTCCACACCAGAATGAAGAAGGTAGGTGACTGGCATGTGTTTGGAAGAGATGTGGTCAGTCCTGCTCTTCTAGATGAAGACCTTTGGTGCTTTCTGCATCATATGCAGTGTCTCTACAACATACTGGATCACTGTTTTGTCTTAAAAGTCAATTTACTAAGTGTATGCAATTATTTATGAACAGTAAACAATTTTAAAATAAATTATCTTTAAAAGTAACTCACTCTGGATAATAACAGGGCAGTGAAGCATTTAGGAAAATCAATTAAGGCAGCATTTAGAGAGGGAAAATGGATAGAAACGAACACATTTCAGAGGAATTTAGGGGTAACATCAGTAGAGTTGGTCATTGGTGAACACCTGAGACCGAATTAGGATCTTGACTACTGAGCATTGCTCAGATTCAGAATTTTTCAGCTGCTTTTAGGCAATATGTCAGGATGCTGAGGGTGATGAGGAAAAATGTAAATCAGGGACTAGCTGAGAACCAGTAGTCTTTAAGTGGCCTCTTAAATTTTGGTGACAGAGTGTACAATTTTTAATTTACTCCCCAAAATGGATTTTTTTTTCTTTTTTTTTTTCTTTTTTGGTCATTTGGTGGTGTGGCGTCAACTTATCAAAAACCAAGCTGAGTGTAACACTACGAGTGCTATTCAGTGACCAAGGATGAACATGGAAGAGACAAGTTCACAAATCCACTTTCTGCTCATCTTGGACTGTGGATTTTAAGATATAATTAAACAGTAATAAGGGGATAGGATAGGGTGATAGAGAAGACGAATATTCAAAGCCTTTCCCTAGAAAAGATGGGGACCTCCTGGAATTCCAAAGCCTTCTTCCTTTTTCTCTCTTTTGGGATTCTTTCAGTGGTTTCCCTGGAGATTATAAATTGTCATGGCACAGATCAGTGTGTTATTTGGTGTAGAAATGACATTATAATGAGGTTTTAGGTCTTCTAGAATCATTCTGGCAGCCATCTTGGATTCCACCAAGAGGGACAGCATGACCTTATCCAAAGGCATGCATCCCATTACTTACGTTTAAGTACAAAGTTGAGGTATGGTATGAGAACAGGTGATAAAGTGAGTGACAAGAGGAGTTAGGAGTACACCTCCTAACCATCAGTCTGTCACAAACTTTAAACTCGCAATTAATTTTACCAATAGAGTACATTTGGGCAAATAGGTTAAACAAAGCCTTAGTCCTCTAATCTATAAAATTTGCAAAATGAGGGACCAGAGTTAGCGTAATGGCTATGTCACTGGACTCCCACGTAGTCGACCGTGATTTGCATCCCAGACCCGGTGGCTTAAACTCACACCAGGAGCGTATGCGTGCATGCCCAAGATTCCAAGAGGAGAATGGAGGAGAAGGGATTGTGGCGTGGCCATCCCCCCTGGGGGGTAATTTCTTGATTTCTGTCTCTCTGTCCTTCTCTGTCTGTCTGGCGAGCGCACGCACCCTGTAGCAAAAACCTCTCAAAAAAAAAATTTGCAAAATGAAAATTGTTGTGAGGAATAAATGAGATAATTCATGGGAAACATTAAGCACAGGGCTTGTGACAGAGCAACCTCTAAATGAAAGTCAATATTATTAGCATAAACCAATTATATCAAGGAGGGTATTAGGAGGATGTGATAGGATTTCTAAAATTAGGATTAGTAAGGGAATTAGGTTGGGTCTTCAGGATGAAGGGTGCTGTTTACGTCATAATTCATCCAGTCATGTTAACCACTTAACTAGTAGGCATTTCTTTGAGGCATGCAGTATGAGCATCTACGTTTTATCAGGAAGTGATCCAAATCTCTTTTTATCTCATGGTTTCCTATCCATACAAATTAAAAGTATTTCTTTTGTATCTTTTGCTAGAAATAATGTGTACCTTATGAAATAATTGTATTCTTTTCAATTTAACTTTACATTTTCCCAAGGTACCTAATGGAGTACCTTACATCTATCATGACAGAGTACTTATAAAATGAATAAATGTTGAATAAAAAAAGAATTAGAATTACTCTTTTATAATCATACTTTAGTATTCTTTAACCTGAACTCCAAAGTAAATAAAGAACTGTCAGATAATTTATGGTATTGTACCCCCATATGAATCAATAAAAGTATACAAATACCAACATAAAAAGCAAACGATTATTTGAGAATTGACAAAACTTTTATAGACTAGTTGAGTTTGTCTGAATAGAGCTGCTCAGTATTCACTCGAGAATGTAATAATGACCTCTGGTGCTTTTGAATTTATGTTTGAATCTAGAATCTTCAGAGATTTATCCCCAAAGGCAAATAATAAAAGACAACATGGCTACTATATAAGAATAGAGTCTCTGAATTCTTCAAGATGTTAGATTTTGGCTTATGTGAATGAATCTAATTTCTTGATTTCAATTTGCTCTTTGAGAACACTTTATTCTTTAAAGTTGTATCTGCATTCACCAGCTATAGTTGAGAAAACAGTCATTGTATTCAAGCAGTCAGCAAGTAGCTTCTACTGAATTATTTCACAGTCAACTTAGTATGAATAAACAGGCCTATTTCTATTTATCAAGATTTCTCATTTATCCACCATAAAACCAGAAACTCACATGGCCCTCAATACTGTGTAACTTAGCATTTAACTATAATGCTAATGAAATCACTGGCTTTAAAATACTTTGGGGAGTTAAGTTAGTAAATATCTTTTAGAAAGATATACTTGGTTTGTTTTTTTCTTTTTTTTTTTTTCCTTGTCTAAAGGTATTGGCATCTCAGGCAATCAGTCACTTTGGACAAATATAAGAATAGAAAACTTGGAGATGAAGGTCAAGGTAGCCATTAACTAGGGACCTGGGCAAATTCGTTAACCTAAAAAATGGCTGTATGCCCTGTTAAAATAATAGGATTGCATTCTATATTGCTCCAGTTAGAAAACTTTATTGCATTAGTAATGTGTTTCAGTTAATGTATTTTAAGTATGGTCTAAATATTAATGACATAATGTTTTTATAGTGATTACTTTAATATTCCAAACTACTTGATAAAATAATATTTTAACTGGAAACATTAGAAATTTTAACAAAATTAGTTTAGGTAACTTTATTCATAATCTTAATTTGAAATTCCTTTCTATTCCTTCCTATCAGGAAAATTGTATTTCTCCTAAAGAAATGGTCATTATTAATGGACAGACATTGCAAACTGTGTACCGAGTGGGGCACCTCTTTTATAAGTTAACTGTCAAAAAATGAAAGGTCCACCTGCTATCTCCTCATTAACAAGTATACTTGATTTCATAATTGCTACCATTTAATTTTATTGCTAGCAGAGTTTCTAAGGGAATGGATTGAGTTCAAACTGTCTGGGTTTCATATTCTGTTTCCTCTGCTTCAAATGCAAGCTCAGGTAAGTAACTTTACATATTCAAAATCAGTTTCCTATTCTATAAAATAGTAAAAGTAACAGTATTTTTTATTAATTTATGGAAATTTATATAGAAATAAAATATTGATTTATATTTATATTTTTAAATAGAATATATAGAAATTTAATCCTCTGCCTAAAATTTAGTAAGCATTGAATAATTGTTCGCCATTAATCATCTGTTACATAGCCCCATAGTAATAGAATTGACTCTTTCTTGTTATATACTTATTCCCCTTGTTATTTTAATTCATCATATTTTAAATACTTAGTTGTAAAGCTTATGGGTACATTTTACTTATATATATTATATGCTACATGTACGCACATGCATATATACATAAACACATGCATACACACATGTGGTCTACAAAAAGTTCAAGGAAAATGTGTATTATGAAAAAATGGGTTATAAAATTTTTCCATAAACATACTGTAATTTCATTTTTCCAGGCACATTTTCAAGTGCTCATGTATATAAATTATTCAATTATATGAAACAATTTTTCTGATGTTCTTGAAATCTAAAAAAAGACACATTACACATAAATATGCAAGTCAGTATTTTAGAGTTAAAAAATATGAAAACTATATTTTTAGTCTAAACTTTGATTGATTTACTTGTTCATAATAATCTCTACATATCTATTAATAAAAATAAAATTATCAAATTTTAAATTCCTTAATGTATAGTTTTTATCTTGGGCTTGTTCTGGAAGCAGCTTCACTGTCTCATGGATCTCCTTGTGGATGGGAACCACACTGCAGTGACCAGGTTCATATTATTGGGCTTAACAGATGATCCAGTCCTTCGGGTCATCTTCTTCATGATCATCCTGTGCATCTACCTGGTGACTATATTTGGCAATCTCAGCACAATCATCCTGATCAGAATCTCCTCTCAGCTCCATCATCCCATGTACTTTTTTCTGAGTCACTTGGCTCTTGCTGATATAGGCTACTCATCTTCTGTCACACCCAATATGCTTGTAAACTTCTTGATGGAAAGAAATACAATCTCCTACCTTGGCTGTGGACTCCAGCTTGGTGCAGCTGTATTTTTTGGGTCAACTGAGTGCTTTGTTCTGGCTGCCATGGCGTACGATCGCTTTGTGGCCATCTGCAACCCACTGCTTTATTCGGCCAAAATGTCCACTCAAGTCTGTGCACAGTTACTCCTAGTTGCTTATACAGGTGGTTTTCTCAATGCATTCTCCTTTACTATTTCTGTGTTCTCTTTGGTCTTCTGTGGACCAAATGTAGTCAATCATTTCTTCTGTGATTTTGCACCTTTAGTTGAGCTCTCCTGTTCTGATACAAGTATCCCTGCAGTTATCCCCTCATTTTCTGCTGGTTCTATCATTGTGGTCACAGTGATTGTCATAGCTGTCTCCTACATCTACATCCTCATCACCATTATGAGGATGAACTCCACCGAGGGACGTCATAAAGCCTTCTCCACCTGTACCTCCCACCTCACTGCAGTCACTCTGTTCTATGGGACAATTACATTCATTTATGTAATGCCCAAGTCCAGCTTCTCAACTGACCAGAACAAGGTGGTGTCTGTGTTCTACATGGTGGTCATCCCCATGTTGAACCCCCTCATCTATAGTCTCAGGAATAGTGAGATTAAAGGGGCTTTGAAGAGACATCTTGAAAAAAAAGTATTTTCTTAGACATGCCAGGTCTTTTTGTAGGATTTGACATGTAATATTCCATAAGAATAATAATAAAATGGGACCAGCAGTTAGCATAATGGCTATGTCACTGGACTCCCATGTAGTCGACCATGGTTCACGTCCCGGTAGCTTAAACTCACGCCAGGCGTGTGTGTGTGCATGCCCAAGATCCCGAGAGGAGAATAGAGGAGAAGGGATTGCGGCATGGCCATTCCCCCTGGGGGGTGATTTCTCACTTTCTATCTCTCTGTCTCTCCCTGTCTGTCTGGCAAGTGCACGCATCCTATAGTGTAAAACCTCTCAAAAAAAAAGTTAAAAAAAAGAATAATAATAAAACTGAATGTGATTTAAGTATGTCTGCCCATATATCATTTAGCCATTTTGGAACTTTCTAGTGATTATTGAGGGTGGGTGTGTAAATATAAAATAGTAAATTAGAGGTTCATAGAAAGTTACTTTTAATTAATTAAGACAAAGATGTTTCTCATAACAAGTATTCTAATGAAAATTTTATTTCATTTGTATTGATACTTTTTCAAGATTAGCTACCTGTTGTGTATTAGATATACTATACTTCCAACTCTTTAATATTATACCAATATTGACTAATAACTTATCCCAAAATGTGGGTGATAATAATGGTTATGACTAAATATACATTCTGAGATAAAATGACAAAGTAGAACAGACAATAAAATTACTGAAGATGTTTTGTTGCAGTAAGATTAGCTGTTGGGATGGGCATTATGGGCCCATTAAATTCTGGTCCATGTTCCTAGCCTCTGACTCCAACCTTAGACATATGCAAAACTGAGCAAAGATGACCCGTGAATCCCTCTGTCAGGTAAAAGAAATGACTTCTGCAAAATGATCAGGATTTCAGATCCCCTCAGGGAATGAGTGCAACAATCCCTTGGAGTGACTTGTTCATGTCAGAACTATTTCATGCTACTGAAGACCCTCTTCCCACACTTGACCCTCCTGCTCCCTGGTCTAGCCAGGAGCCAGGTTAGAACACCCTACTTTTTTTGTCTCTTTCCATCTCTCTCTATTTTAATTTTTTTTTAATTTTTTAAATGTAAAGCTCTGCTGCTCTTTTGTCTTCCTAATCTTTCTAATTCTTACCTTTCCTTCTGCCCCCATAGGATAAACAAATCAGCAGCCATCTACAACTCAGTTTAAAGAATCTCCTTTCAAGGATTTCAACCACGAAAGACCCTCTACATGGTCTTCACTTTCCTGCTCCCCAGTCTAGCCAGGAGCCAGGTTAGGATGCCCTACTTATTCTATCTCTTTCCATTTCTATATATATATTTTAAATTAAAAAAATTTTTAAATGTAGCTCTCTGCTGCTCTTTTGTCTTTCTAATTGTTCTAATTCTTACCTTTCCCTCTGCCTCATAGGATAAACCAATCAGCAGCCATCTACAGCTCAGTTAAAAGTTGCTCTTTTTGCACAATTTTTATTTTTTGACAAAGAAAATTTTTTTCTTTCTTTTTTCTCATTTTTTTCTCCTCTCTCTCTCTCTCTCTCTCTCTCTGTCTTTCTTTCTTTTTTTTTTTTTTCCTTCTCTTTTTTTTTTACCTACTCTTATTCTTTTGCTTTTTTACCTTTCTCACTTTTCTGCTCAGATGCCATACACTGATTTTCTAGACAGGTTCTGTAGCCAAATATCTAAATACTTTTAGGATCAAATTCATCCTCAATTTTCATTGACTCAGTTGTGCAAAGGGATTAAAAATGGTACTGCGTACAGACTGTAGGTCACCTCCTTCTGCATTCTCTTCCATGTGATGCACGGTTTTTTGTCATCTCCTGACTTTGTCTGTTTCTTCATATTTCATTTATTACAGGCAAGATTCTAAAACCAACTTATTATTATTATTCATACATCATTTAGATTGTGAAGAGACTTTACCCAGCATGATATACACCTCAGTCCAGCCCAGTTGAGGCCACCATACAAATCCTCATTATCAGATAATAAACCTTATCTGTGTCCCATAAGTGTCTTACCTCTTCATTTCCCCCCAAATTTCCTATGTTCTTCCCTTCCCACACTCTCTTTCCATTTAATCTCTAGTGTTCATTACAATTTTTTTTCTTTTTGGAGAAGTTTTTGCCATAGGGCGTGTGCGCTCGCCAGACAGAGACAGAGAAACAGAAAGCAAGAAATCACCCCCCAGGGAGGATGGCCATGCCACAATCCCTTCTCCTCCATTCTCCTCTCAGGATCTTGGGCACGCATGCACACGCGTCCGGCGTGAATTTTAAACCACTGGGTCCAGGATGCAAACCGCGGTCGGCTACATGGGAGTCCAGCCACATAGCCATTATGCTAACTGCTGGTCCCATCCATTACAATTTTTAATACTTTTGTGTTCTCCAGTCTTTCAGTCTCTACCATGGAGTGCAGTAGGTATAGGTTAAGTGGACACATTTCTGACATTGGTATGATTTCTTGCATTTTGTGTGTTGATAATGTGGAGTTAGTGTGTTCTTTGAAGGAGAGCTATGTTCTTATTTTTCATGTTTCTTATATATCTATGTTGATGTTTTGGTATCTGATGAAGTATTTACTTCTTCCAATTTCCTGGATTATGTTTTTTAATGACATTGTTTTCTTTTTTTAATTAATTCTTTTACCTTTATCTATTGAAGACTTTGCTTATTTTTTAATTTTATTTATTATTATTATCATATCTCAATTTTGCCAGAAGGAAAATGAGAGAGAGAGAAAGGAAGAGAAAACCACCAGGTCCAGGACTTAAAGCACACTGAGCCATGTGGAAGTTCAGCATCTCAACCACTATGCCAACAGTCGGCCCCGACATTGTGTATTTTCAAAGATGCCAATAGGAGGGGCCAGCAGGTGGCATGGTGATTAAGATCCTGGATCCCATTCAGCTGACTCCACAGTCTGAGTCCTGGAATCAGCGACGTGAATACCTTGTGAGGTACTTATTTGCCCAAAATACAAAGAAGAGAATGGAAGAGAAAGGATTACGGCCTGACTCCTCCAACTCCCCAGAAGGAGATTTCTCACTTTCCATCTCTATCTCTCACTCTGAAGAGAAAAAAGATGAAAATCAAGGACTAATGGGGAACCAGGAGTCCTCATTCAGACATTTTCATCTTATTCACAAATGGAGTTCAGAGTACACATGCTAACATAAACCGACCTGACATTTAAAGCCGGATTTACCAAAGAGTACATTTGGGCAAGTAAATTGAACTTTGCTTCAGCTCTATCATCTATACAATTTGGAAAAGGGAATGCCTAGCTCCCAAATTCTTGTGACAACTAAATAAGATAATAAACGTGAAGCATGAAGCACAGTGCTTGGCAGAGAAAAGCTCTGAATGAAAGTCGGTTAGCATTATCATTGGTAAACTACTTCCACCGAAGGGGAATAGGAGGTTATGATAGAATTCATAAGTACTAGAATTAGCAAGAAAATAAAACTGAGTCTTCGAGTTGAAGATTGCTGTTTCTGCTATGACCCATTCAGTGAAGTAGGCCACTAATTAGAGATCATGCCATGATTCTTGTTGCTCCCTTTCTCCTACTTTTACCCATCTTGTAGGAATTCTGAGCACAAAAGCACATGTGTCTCACCTACTTTTCAAGCTGCTGGGGCTGGGATTCAAACTGTGGTTGACCATTGGGTTCTGGCTGCCCTAACCACTAGACTAGAGGGCTGACCCAGGTATATACAATTTTTTAACTGTTCTTTCTTGCAAGTTAATTGTATGGAGAGCAGAGAAATAACAAAGCAAAAAGCTGACCATCAATGAAAAGAAATGAAAGGGACTAAACTTCATCTTCCAGACCCCAAAACATAGACAGAAGCCATCAATATTTGAACTGTGCCCTGCCCTTTCTAGGGACCAAGGCAACAGAAGAATATCTACTCTAAACCTCATTTTTCAGATCCCAAAATCTAGACAGCCTCCACACAATGAGTGTCTAGAGAGGTCTAGGCACACAGTAGCCAAACATCTGAATACTTTTAGGGTCATAAAAATACTCCACCCACACTGAACCTGCTGCACAAAGGGAGAAACTCCTTTTCATAAATCTGAACTCAAATATCTTTCTGTGGATACCACCTTGCCGAACACAGCTGAGGAGAGAAATTGGCACAGAAATATCTCACAGAAAGAGAAGTACACACGTTTACAGTTGCAGAAACCTTCTCCAAAAAATTGGTCAAAAGTGAATACACCACCAAATGACTAAAAATCGGAAAGGAGAGACTGCAGAGTAAGCAGTAAGGAGCACTACAGAGCTGCAGAGAGAGTGCAGCTCATCTCCTCCCACACTCCTCTGAACGCTCAGTTGAATCCCCTCAGCTCAGCCCAGGTGCACCAGTTCTCTAGAAACTGGGAGGCCTTTGTAGTATCTAGTTTCAATGACAAAAGTACAAGTTACTTGGTGAACATCAAGGAAATGGAACTGCAGGGAGATTATCACCTCCTCCCAAAAACCTCTGAACACTCAGAATTAACTCCAAGAAATTAGGAAGAAATGTATAATCCATCAGCTGACCAGAAACCCTACAGAAACACATGAAATATGAGAACCAAGAAAATATCTCCCCCCCAACCCAAAAGAACAACCCTTCATCATCCACAGACAGTACAATGAAACTCATGGAAGTGTCCAATAAAGAAATGACAATATTCATTGTGACAAAACTAATCAAGATGCAAGAGAGGAGAGACAATGAACTCCAGAAGATGCAAGAGAAAAGAGACAAAGAGTTCCAGGACATGAGGAAGTTTTTACACAAATTGAAACAAGAAATACACAACACAAAAAAGAATCAAATGGAATTGTTGGAGAGGAAGGCAATAATACAGGAAATTGAAACCTCGCTCAAAAGTATTAAAAGCAGATTGGACCATACATAAGAATCTCAGAGGATGACAACAAAACATTTGTTCTACAAAAAAAAAAAATCACCAAAATGACTGAGAAAGTAACCCCCAA